CTAAGCCTAAGCCTCCTAAACTCCATTGCTCCCATGCTCAAAGTCTTCTGCTTCCGTTGCTTTGTCACCGTCCAAGTTGCGTTCACCTGAAAAAGACAAAGAAAAAGAAATTAGTACAGTTAATTGAAAAAAGAATTTTCAAACAAAAAAAGAAAGGAGAAGGTCATCATTAAAATTTTCCGTCTAGAATCAGAATGCTTATTTTTCATCATGTTTTATTTTTCTCTTTGCATATCACAAGAAGATTGCTCTTCTTGGTTCACAAAGAGAAAATTAAAAATACAAATTGAAAATATTGCAGCAACAAAGGCAAACCAAGGCGCCAAAATTCAAACTAGGCAAGCTGAATGCAAACATAGTTACCAAACATTTCAAAGTCAGCAACCAAGTGGTGTAACAAGAAGCATTTCAACAAAACATGACAATTTTACAAACATAGGCGCCCATTGTACTGCATTGCAAACATAAGCATGTCAAACTAAGCAAACTAAGCATGGCAAACCAAACCAGATGCAAACTGTCAAGTAAGCCAACTACAAAGGAAAAAAGTACATAATGCAGAAAGTACAGCAAAAGCAGGCAAATGCAGTAGGAAAATACAGCAGGAGGAAAACCTATTGACAAGCAAAGACTTGTCAGAAGCCATCATCATTTTCCAGGGGCAAACTTTTCAGAATATAATATAATAAGCAAAAAATGCTTTTTGATGGAGAGGGAAAGAGAGAAAGATATCACCTTGGGTGAAGTTTGCAGTTTGGCAAAAAAAACAGGCTGTCTCAAGTTAACAAAGGCAAAAAAAAAGAAGATATAAAACTGAAGACTGCATAACAGTCTAGGGAGAGAACATTAGAGCCCAGCCAGAAATCTCAAAAAATCTCCAAACTGCTAGCTTGTCAAACACCATAGCAAAACACAAACTTGCCAAACCTGCATAACAGGCCAACAATTCCAAAACAAACACTTCCAAAAACCTGCACAAGATCAATAACCATACTACCAAACTGCTCAAACCACAAGCCTTGTTCAAACCACAAGCCTTGCCCAAACTGCAGTACCAAACTACCAAACCAGCAACTCAAAAACCTGACAAACAAAACACCACAAAGCTTACCTAAACTGCAGCAAAACTATAAACAACAAAAAACCAAGCTATAACAAGCTAACCAAACTGTTCACCATTTCAAACATCATCAAAACTACCACAAAACAACCAAAATCACAACAACAAAAAAACCTTCAAGCCTACCAAGTCAGAATCATCAAACACAATCCAAGTAACAAACGTTTCAGGTTATCAATCATTAACAATTTAAGAAGGGAGGAAAAGAAGTTTCAGAAGCAAAAAACACAGTTTCAGAAACATTTCATCATCAACAACCATAAGCTGCAAACCAGTTTTCAAACATAGCATACAAAAATCAGTAACAGTATCATCATTAACATTCCAAGAGAGAAGGAAGAGAGGTTCAGAATTAACAAACAACTAGTTTCAGAACAGTTTCATCATCAATGATCAAGACTAACAAAGTTTCATAACAGTTTCATCATTAACAATCCAGAACGACAAAGTCAGAAACCATCAAAATCTTATCATCCAAAGAACAAAAAAAAAGAAGTCTCAGAAAGAGCTCATCATCAACCTTCAAAGAAGAAAGGAAGAAGGTTACCAAACGCGCGGTCATCATCTCCTCCATCCTCCTCCTCTAGCCGCCACAGAAGCTCCGCCGGTCCAACATCTCTTTCCCTCCACTTTCCAGAAAAAAACTCAAGGTAAGCTTTTCCTCAAACCTTCGTTACGCCAGACACATAAACATCAAAGGATTAAAAAACTGAACATGCAAGCAAAAATCAAACAAACGAAAGCAAACTGTAAAACGTGAAAAAGATAACAAGTCATACCGCTCAGTCCAAAGCCAAGGATTAGCGCGAGGAGATGAGAGAATAGGGTGGCGCTCCGTTGGCTAGAGCTTGGAGGGAGTATAAGATCAGAAGCTTTCGTTTGAGAAAGATGAAGAGCAAGAACAAGAGAGCGGGGCCACTGTGTACCAAACGTACAAACCCTAAAAATGAACGAACCCCTAGCCAAAAAACGTTGTACAAATTTTACACTGGGCCTGACCCACCCCAAACTAAACCTTAAGCCCACAATGTTTTACCAGCGCACCTCCCCCCATTTTTCCCCATTTCTGACTTTTTGTTCTTTTTCCATTTGGGCCTAACCCCTAACAAACTCTTAAGCCTATCTTTTCTTTTTCTTTAATTTAATTTCTTTTCTTTTATTCAAACCAATACTTTTTTTAATTAATTTCATTCTAAATAACTTGTTTTCTTTTCTTTTGTTAATAATAAAACCAAATAATATATTAAAATTTTGTTTTTATTTTCTTAATATAGTTTTCTTTTTTTTAATAATTGTTACCTTTAATAAAGATACAAGAATAATAGAAACTTTGTTCATTTAATTTTTCTTTCAAACTTTTTATTTACATGATTAATGAAAAACACATATAAAATAATAATAATAATTCCTTAATCTTTTCTTTTTTTTAGAATAGACTTTTATTTGTTTATTTGTAAATAAATACATGCATTTCATAATTTATTGACTCTCTTTATTTTTATGTTTTGTTATAGCTTTATATTTGAATTGTGACGATTCGATTTGGTTTTAACACATAATATTTGGACATTGTTATCCTTGTGAGATTCATCCCCATTTGTAAATAATTGTACCCCCATCCCCGGATACTTTTGTAATAGCTTAGAATTTTAATTCTCGCACTTTATGCTTTCAAATATGCCATGACTAGAGATTAGGGTTTGTATGCGAAATTCAAAATCAATCGCTAGATGACCTAAATACAAGATCCAAATGCATGAAAATGACAAACACAATTCACACTTAGGGTAACCTCGCTTGTTGCTTCGGAAAATGCAATCATGTCCCTCGAATATGAGACACTCTAGCAAATGCCCCTTCGATAAACAAAGATCGTAGTCCCTCGATGACCCTCGATGTTGCCTTCGATAAAACGATCTCGTCCCTTACAAAATTGCTAGAGCGTCTCACAAGTTGCTTTCAATGATTGTATGTGATGACCCGCGCCTGTCCCGTTTAACATCCTAACACAAGGTTGTTCACCAAATGCAATGGTGAAATAACACTGTCAAAAGGGTTAAAAACATAATAAAGATCTTTGAGTAAAATAGGGTAGACAATTCTTAGTTACTTGATCAAAAACTTGCAAAACATCCTTGCTATTTTCAAACATACTTCACAACACAAATTCCCAAAACAAGCTTTCAAAACATTGAAATTTCTTTTCAAGAAGACAAACACCTTTGTATATATTCAAACAAGAATCATTACAAAGGTCACCTAGACAAGGCCTCTTTTTCAAAGCATTTTCAAAACCACACACACAAAGCACCATTTCAAACAATTGAAAATCAAAAGCAAGTGATCTAAAACGAGTAACTAAGAGCCCATGGAAAACTATGGATGAAAAGTGCTTGCACCTTCCCTTTTCATAATCTACCACCCGAACCCAAGAAAACATCTCAAAGGTCTTTCCTGTGCTTTTTGACCTTTCCTTTGGATAAAATAAAAAGTCGATGGCGACTCTTGCTAAACCGAACAATTGCGAAACGCAAAACCTCAAGTCAGTTCTCCCACCGTATCACAATAGGCATCAACAAAGATGCCCTTTGATCAATGGTGAGCTGCTTGCCTTGCCTCATAGCTACAAGATCAATACTATCCAATTGGCTGCTCTTAGTGCCAACCAGGTTCTTGTAAAACGTAATAATCTCCTCTGCTATTTTCTCCTGCTCAAAAATCATATCACCATTCTCAGTAACAAGCGTAGAATTTGTGTTTTCCTAGTTTTCGGTTTTAAGGACACATGAAAATAAGCATTATTCCCGTCTCCTAATTTAAGCCACAATCAACCTTCTATTTCTGCCTAAGAAGATGCTCCTCAAGGTTGCTCAGATTTAGAACTAGCATCGTGCATCTTTTCACATTCTCAATAATCTGCATATTAAACTGATTCGTTAGAAGATCTTTTTGTATAGAAGTGAGATGCTCTCTAGCTTTGGACAATCATCTCGAAATTCCAGTGAAGGTCTTGCTCATGGATTTAATAACGGGTTGGAGACGTTTAAGCTTTTCCACAGTCTGCACATAGCAGTAGCACCCAAAATAGGGTTGTTCCAGTTCTCTCTCATAGCTTCTTGAAAACCTAAGACATTAGTGACTGCATTTTGGAACTTGAAGGGAGTTCTACTAGGATGTCTGTCTTCCTGTCTACACAGGCACGGGAGGGAGTGGTCTGACACCCTAGAATTCAGAATTTGAAGTTTGAAATCTATGTGTTCTTGCAACCAACTTAAGTTACCAAGAACATGGTCTATACGAGAGTATATCACACCATTAGCTTGGTTATTTGTCCAAGTATAATATTCCCCACTACTATCTTTTTCATGAATATTTGTTACTTCAAGCATCTTCTCCAAATCCCTATATTCATTCTCAGTGACCATGTTTCCCTCTATTTTGTCTTGAGCATTAAGGACATTGTTAAAATCCCCTATGAGCGCCCACGGACCAGAGATATTGGAATGCAGATCTTCTATATCCTGCCACATAAATTTCCTTTGCTCCAAGGTGTTCATTGCATAAATTGCAGTCAACCATATATACATGTCTCCATTCAAATGGGTAAGACAACAATGAATATATTGGGAAGAGCTTCTAACCACCTGTAGATTGAAATTGGTCTCTTTCCACATCACCCAAATTCGACCATTTTTGTGGTCTGGATAATTGTCCTTAAAAGACCACATACGCCCAAACCTCTTCTTAACGTCAACAACTTTGTGCAACTTAACACGAGTTTCTACTAAGATAACAATATCAGGGTGAATTCTATTGAGGCGGGAGCTGACCTCATTACACTTACCTGAATTATTAATCCCCCTTACATTCCAAGAAACAATCATGTCCCCGTATCGAGAATGTCTTCAAGCCCCCCAATCTTGAAAACATGAAAACCAATTTGACACCTAATATCATGGACATATTCTTCAATTTTTCCTTTATGCCTACCACTGCTCTTAGTAGTTATCCAAGATGATGATTTTGGTTCAACTGGGTTATTCTTGCTTTTCTCTTCAGCTTCTGCTTGGTATTCTTGACTATTACCTCCGCTTTTGGTTTTTCACGCCACTGCTTATTAGGTTTTTCTTGACACTGATGGTCGATCTTCTGACACAAATCACAGAACTCGGGCTTCCATTCATACTCAACTGGCTGTGTGATTTTGTTCCCTTCCTTGTCTCTTATCATGATGTTTTCCTTCTGCTTTAGTGTTACATCTATCTCGACCAAGATTCAGGCGTATGAAACTCGCAACTTATTTATCGTACATTCGTTTGTAAATAGAGGGTTACCAATGGCACTCCCAATTTTTCCAAGACTTTTGGTACCCCATAGATATAGAGGAAGATTGGGAAGGTTCACCCAAATCGGTAATGTGCGTAACATATCTCTCTTGAAACCAAAATCCGGATTCCAATCTTTTAGAACCATTGGCATACTCTGAATGGTATAGGGTCCCTTCATCAAGACCATGTCCATGTCTTTATGCGTTCGGAATTTCAACATAAAATACACATCTTCATGGTAGTACATCTTCGGCAGCTGAACAAAACTCCAGAACTTTGTCATATACTGTTTAACCGCGTTTATACTCAAATCCATACCCAAAACATACATAATCAGAGTTGTTTCCAAGTATTTGAGATCATCTAGAATGTCTTCTTCTTCAATCTCTACTTCTATTTCTCCTTCCACTATCTTCAGGGAAAAATATTCAATAGCAGCTCCATTGGACAGGATTCTGTTTCCACTAATTACATCCACCCACAGTTTTTTAGGTTCCTCACCAACCTTCTGGTTTATCACCTCATTAACATCTAAAGTTGCGGTTTTTTCCTCTTCCACCATCACAATTAAACCAATTTCAGGCTCAATCGTTGAACTTCTCTCTGAATCATTTTTTCTCCCACTCTGCTTCAAAACATTCGCAAGCATCAAAGACGGAACCTTCTTCTTTGGACACCCTCTGCCGCGAGCCATATCACCACAAAGCTAACACCAGTAAGAATCAAACCAAAATAGTCCCTAATCTGAAGGTTAGGAATTTAAACCATTTTGAATCAACCCTAACCAAAAAAGTCTTCTCACAAAAGAACCAGAACGGGAAGCTTGAATGAAAATTGCTGCTGAGGCTTGATGTCACTATTATTATTATTATCATTATTATTGATGTCATTATTATTATTATTATTATCATTATTATTATTATTATTATTATTATTATTATTATTATTATTATTATTATTGATGTCATTATCATTATTATTATTATTATTATTATTATTGATGTCATTATTATTATTATTATTATTATTATTATTATTATTATTATTGATGTCATCATTATTATTATTATTATTATTATTATTGACGTCATTATTATTATTATTATTATTATCATTATCATTATTATTATTATTATTATTATTATTGTTATTATATCATTATTATTATTATCATTATCATTATTATTATTATTATCATCATTATCATTATCATTATCATTATCATTATAATTATCATTATTATTATCATCATTATCATCATCATTATCATTATCATTATTATTATTATTATTATCATTATCATTATTATTATTATTATCATTATCATTATCATTATTATTATTATCATTATTATTATTATTATTATTATTATTATTATTATTATTATTATTATTATCATTATTATTATCATTATTATTATTTTATTTTGAATAAAAAAGAATAACTTTTATAGAAAGATTAAAAAACAATACAACTCAAGCGATCAAAACGATCCAGCAAAAACAAACAAATCAAAGCCAACAAACACCTTATACCTAAGGCAGCAAAAGCTTTCCAATGTGTTGCCTAAGATTAGGATGAGACCAACATTTATAAACAATATAATTTACTATGTCATTTCCAATATTACACTTCCTGTTTCCTGCATTCTCATCAAAGCAGAAAGAATTCCCGAAGTTCCAAGATGGATATATAGTTTCAGAAAAAGCACACTTTAGGAAGTTGGTTTTCCAACCTTTTCTCTTACAATGCCCAAGAATCCACTTAAGTTCCTCGACCCAGCCTTTTGGACTATGAGCAATCTGTAACCAGTTGAGAACCACAATCCAAATATCCCTCACAACATGACACTCAAAGAAAAGGCGTTGGAGAGATTAAGGCTCCCTGCAAAAGCAGCATTCCATACTGCTAAGCATGCTAAATTTGGCTAACCTCTCTTTGGTAGGTAAGCTGCTGTGACAAGCCCTCCAAATACAGTGCACTGCACGAGGCCTAACAAAGTTACCAATGAGCAAATTCCTCAACTCAACCTTATGATCACTGCTGCAGAACTCAAAGTACATCTCTCTGGCTTTAAAAATGTCACTCTGAATCAACTTCTCCTAGGCCTGAGATTGGGTAACAAGGTCTCTGCAATTCAAAATTGTATGCAGGATCTAAGAGCAGATTTATTTAATGTTTACTTCCATTATAGAATACTCCTTCACATAATAGTTGTGAACCCACCTAATCCAGAGGATATTTGCCTTACCACATAAGTTCTAAAGCAACCTTCACATGCTAACCTGATTTTACAACTTAAGATTAATGATATTAAGGCCCCCACTACTTTTAGGCTTGCACACTTTATCCCAGGAAATAGGAGATTTCCTAGAAACAAACTCTTTTCCTGTCCAAAGAAACATTCTCAAAACAACATTCACTTTTTTTAGAACCAGCTTCAGAATAGGCATACATTGCATCCAAAAGTTAGTGATAACAAAAAGAACACTTTTGATCAGCTGAGCTCTAACAGCAAAACTTAACAACTTGGTGCTCCAATGCTTAACACGACTAACAATTTTTCTACCAAAATCAGACAATGATGGTTGGAAAGCTTCTTACTCGTGAGGGGGATACCCAAATACCTAAACGGCAAGGAGCCTTCAGCAAAATAAGTGATCTGGAAAATGTCATGTTTAATAGCATCATCCACGTTGCCATAATAGGAATTGCATTTAGCAGGGTTCACAACAAGACCAGTAGAAGAAGAGAAATCATCAAAAGCTGCTAACATGGTCTTAACAGAATTAACATCAGCTCTAGAGAAGAGTAAGAGGTCTTCCGCAAAATACATTTCCACAATGCACAAAGATTTGCATCTAGAATGGAACTTAAACTCATAATTATTTCTTAAATTGGCCATGACCCTATGAAGGTACTCCATGGCGATCACAAACAAAAGGGGGGACAAGGGATCCCCTTGTCTCAAGCCACTCTTAGCAACCAAAAGATCAAAAATGTTATTATTCATGTTATACCTGTAGGTAAGAGAAGAGATAGTCAACATAATTCACTTAATGAACTTAGAAAGGAAGCTCAACTCTCTAAGAATATCCTTCAAAGCCCCCCAATCAACAGTGTCGTAGGCCTTATGAAGATCCATTTGAAGCATACATCTAGGGGTGCCACCTTTAGTGATGTAGCCTTTCAGGAGCTCATATGCAAGCAGAATATGATCGCGTATGTGTCGGCCTGGAACAAAAGCAGCTTGGCTTACATTAATGATATTACTGAGCACTCTACCCAATCTGGCATGTAATACTTTAGGAATAATTTTATAGAGGGTAATGCAGCACGAAATGGGCCTGCAATCCTTTACCATACTAGCAAAATTTTTTCCGGGATGAGAGTAACCAAGGTGCAGTTGACAGCTTTGAGCATCTTCCCCTTTTCAAAGAACTCCAAAAGTACATTCATAATATCTACACGAATAATGTGCCAGGCATTATTGAATTTTTTAATACCAAATCCATATATGTCGGGAGCTGTAATGTCATGGATACCTTTAAGAGCCTCTAAAACCTCATTTTCTGTAACAGTGGCAGTGAGTTGATCACACTGATTCAGATTTAATTGAGGCCCATTACGCATAACCACAATATCAAATTTTCTAATTCTATCTGCAGTCGTTCCTACAAGATTCCCATAGAAATCAAGGATCTCCTTCTCAATATCATTTTTTTCACTAAGAGTGACACCATTCTAGCTGGTTAGCGTGTGCATTAGCTTCTGACTTTGTTTGCTTTTGAGCGAAGCAAAGAAAAAAGCGTTGTTACTGTCACCAGATCGCATCCAAAGAATTTTGGCTTTTTGTCTAAGGAGGTCTTCTTCAATGTTGCTCTGCTTTATAAGCTCATTGGAAAGGAACCTTTCCCTCTCAATTTTTGTGATATTCGTTTTGTCAGACACCAGGTCCCACTGAGCATGACTCAGTCCTCTCTAAGGTTATCAATTTGTTTTCTCAACCCAGAAAAACACCTGATTTTCTCTTTTATCACATGTTTGAGTCTTTTTAATTTCTTCCAGACTATAAGCATAGCGCACCCATCAATAGGGGATTCGAATTATCCTAAAATGCCTTTAAGTAGCCATGAGTATCCATAACATCATTTGGGAATTTGAAGTGGTACATGAAACCCCTGTGATGCTGCTGCTTCTGAATGCATAACAGGGCATGGTCTAATACTCCAGCCTCCATGATGAGCAATTTAGAGTGAACAAACTTCTACTACCATTCCAAACTCCCAATGACCATGTCTATTCTTGAATAGAGAGTCCCATTAAAATGCTTGTTGGACCAAGTAAAGTGATCTCCAAAACCGTCCTTCTCATATAAGCCAGTGTTTTCCATCATACACACCAAATCCTCATACTCTTTTTCACGAACTGGTTTGCCCCCATTCTGTCCATTGCGGAAATGACATTATTGAAATATCCCATAACCATCCAAGGGCCAAACAGAGTATAATGAATGGTACTGATATGGTTCCACAAACCCTTCCTTTTTGCCAAGAGGTTATGCGCATAGACTGCAGTACAAAACATCATATGCTCCCCCTACAATGGATAAGCTGATCAGTGCACCCGTCTTTGATGACCTTTATTCTATGCTTATTCCACAAAATCCAAATACGACCATTCCCATGATTGGAATAGTTATCAATGAATGCCCATCAAAGACCAAACTTAGCCCTAATTTTATCAGCTTTATTGAACTTAACTCTGGTTTCTAGAAGAATAATAAGGTCAGGATCAAGCTTCATGAGATGGGTTGCGATCTCATTACACTTGCCCGCATTATTCAACCCTCTTATATTTCCAGCTAACAATCATGTTCCCACTACTGTCACCTCAAAGGGTCCATTCAAAGACCTAAGAAGATCAAAGCCATTCGTGTAGTGCAGATTACTCTCATTAGTTCCAGCATTGCCCTGAAACACAGCCTTACCCTTTAATTTTCTGGTGACATGTGTCCAAGTTGGAGAAACCAGGTCAGGGGGTTGTTAGGGGTGATGACTTCCTTAGGTTGCTCCTCAGCAGGCTTAGGGACTGGTTTCCATTCCTTCATTACCTTTTTCCTCTCAGTGTTGCAGTCATGTCCTATTTTTTGGAAAACATCGTAGAAATTCGACTTCCATTCGAATTCTATAGACTGAATCAATTTTTCACCCATATTGTCTCTGATTATAACAGAATTCTTCTGCTGTTGAGTAATATCAATTTCAACAAGGATGAGAGCATAAGAAACACGAAGCTTGTTTTCAGTACATTCATTAGAGAATAGAGGCTTACCAATTGCGCTACCTAGTCTTCCAAGGCTTTCAGGCCCCCACAGGTATAGAGGCAAATTGGGAGAGTAACCCACACCGATAAAGTTCTTATCATATCTCTCTTGAAATTGAATTGTGGACTCCATTCCTTTAACACCATGGGCATGTTATGGATGGAATACGGACCCCTCATCAAACCCAGCTCCTTATCTTTAGACTTACCAAACTTTAGTAGGAAATACCCCTCATCATGGTAGAAAATTTCTGGTAATTGGGAAAAATTCCAAAACCTAGTCATGAATTGCTTAAAAATATTCATACCGAGGTCTTTTCCAAGCATATACATAATCAACGTGTTGTCTCAATATCTGATTTCCTCAAT